TCTCACCGTGGAGATCCGGACCCTTACTACTCTTCCAGCCTTCCGCAAAGCGCTTAAGACCTGGCTGTTCCAGCAGGCCTGGGGCTGTTGAGTTATCCAGCCCCACTCTAAGCTGCATATATGTTGTGCAATTTTAATGTTTGTTTTTTTAAAATTTTTATATGTCCCCCCCCTTTTTTTTCTGTAAGCCGCCCAGAGTCCCTAGGGAGTGGGTGGCATACAAATCCTAATAAAACCTAAAGTCAGAGGTGGTATTTACTGGCTCCCCAAACTACTCAAAATTTCCACTACCGGTTCTTCAGAACTGGTCAGAACCTGCTGAATACCACCTCTGATCCATTCCTCTTTAAGCAATCACTGAAGATAAACATTTAACTTATATATAACTGTTTGAGTTCCTCAAACTTTATGAAATTGACTACATATTTCCATCCTATGTGTACCATAGTGTTATGTGCTCCTTCTATATATTTTATTACTGTTATCCTTGGGCTCTGTTCCATACATACATTCCATAAATAAATAAACAAATCCCATATGCATTTGTTCTTTCTTTCTTTTCTTTTCTTTTTTGACTGTAAGCTCCTCAGTTACTAAGAAATCAAAAGATAATGCTGGAGGCGATGAATATGATGAACATTTATTCCATGCTGAAGAAATGTATCCACATAGTCACCAGTGGTTGAGAATCTTTACTTGTCCAAGCCTACCGAGATAAAGTACTCTGGCAAGCTATTATTTTATGAGCCACAGTGGGAATCCTGGAGAGAGAGAAATAAATAATCTAGAGTTACCTTCACTATGCTTTTTAAAGCAAAGTTTCTGGATTCATGTTTATACTTCAAGGTTACATTTATATCCTGCTTTTCTTTCAAAGGACACATGACAGCATACAAGATTCTTTCCCCTTTTTATTTGAACTATAAACCTATATGATAAATTAAGCAGAAATCTAGAAATCATGGGATCCCATGAACCCATTCCCAAAGCCATAATGGAATCTGTCTAGTTCTGTCTTAGACTTTGGCGTTGCTCCAACTACTATATTTGAAAACAAAATGATTTATGGCTAAAATTATTGGCATATACTACAAGCCAGGATGACAGGAAGTGTAGCTTAGCATTGTGTGTGTTAAGTACTAGTGTAAGTCCTCGACTTACGACCGGTCCTAAGTCCTTGACTTATGACCGACCGCAAGTCCTCGACTTACGACTGACAGCCGGCTCCTGCTGAGCCGCGCCTGATTGGCTAAGGCACGTCTGGCTGAGTGCGGGCTGTTTCCTCTATTCCTATTGGTTGCCCTGCTTGACAGCTTGAATATAAATATCTGTCAAGCAGGGCGAGGTGCTGAACTCTGTATATAGTCACCTGTTAGCTGGTTCTGTTAAAAAGCTGCTCTACTTACCTCAGCCATTCCACATTTCTTCTATCAGCTCAGTATTCAATACTGGCGACGAGGGGGGGGGATGCTGAAGTTCTTTCAATCAGGCCTCTCTAACCCAGCCACCGCCTCCCTGCAGCCTGGCCTAGCACCTCCTCAATCCGCTGCGGCGGCGCTATTCCACCTACCTGATTTGAGGATTCTGTCTCCATTGGTGGGCCCTGATGATGTCACCTGGAGCTCCACTCCGATCAGGGAGGAGCTACAACGGGGATAACCTGCCTCGCCGGCTGCTTCTCTGCAACTGCGACATTCTCGGCGGGTCCGGCGCCGCCCCGCCTACCTAAGCAAGTACATCTGCCCAATTACCGTGCATGAGTACCCACTGGGGGGGAAGGAGTGTTAAGTATTAGTGTAAGTCCTTGACTTGTGACCGGTCCTAAGTCCTCGACTTATAACCGGCCGCAAGTCCTCGACTTATGACTGACAGCCAGTTCAAGCTGTCAAGCAGGACGAGGTGCTGAACTCGATAGTTACCTGTTAGCTGACTCTGTTAAATAAAAGCTGTTCTACTTACCTCAGCCATTCCACGTCTCTTCTATCAGCTCATTCAATAGTGTAAAGATAAGGTCAGTGAAATACCCATTCTTCCACGAAGTGTGGATCCATCATTTATTCTAGACACACATACATTTGAAATACCTTGCAAATTCATCCATCTTTCAAATTACCTTTTCCGGATAGATTTTCTTGAATCCTTGTCCTGCAGGTTCTTTTCCCTTAGTTACATCATGTTTGTTATTGTCATGTAACACTGGGCAATCCAAAGCTCTTGTGTAGATCCCAAATGCATTTTCACAGTCTCCAGAGATCGTGCTGCAAAAATGTATAGGCCCCCAGTCAAATTATGTTGATATTATCTCCTGATTTTTGGTCTTGAAAACAAGCCTTAAAAGAGTTGTATTGCCCACTGGCTTTTTCTTATTTATTTTTATCCTAGCTTTATTACTTTTTATAAATACCTCAGGGCAGGGAACATATATAATACTCCTTCTTGCTCCTATTTTCCCCACAACAAAACTCTGTTAGGTGAGTTAGGCTGAGAGAGGAAGTAACAGACCCAAGTCACAAAGCCAGTTTTCATGCCTAAGGCAGGACTAGAATTCATGATCGCCGGGTTTCTAGTCCTAGATTTTAACCACTAGACCAAATTGAGTCTTCTTTTAGATGTACTGTAAGTTTTAAAATTCCCTGTCTAAAAACATAGAGATTGTATCCAACACAGAACTTCCATATTACCAATGTACTTGTTTGGAGAAGTATATCATATAGTCTTCTTCCCTGCTAAAGCCATAACCTTCAGCTCACTTAAAGACTAAATGTTATTTTCTTTGGTAGGATCTAAAACATAGACTGACCCACAATTCTAACGTGGGGCAGAGAAGCTATCCAGCATTTTTCTCCTCTTATCAGTTTGTGTTTGATTTGAAAAAAGAAAATTTATTTCAGTCATTCTTTCAAAGGGAAAAATGATTTTGGAATAATCCCAAGATTAAACATGATGTTCCTACATCTATTTAGCTATGGAGACAATCAAGGAATATACGTGTCGTGTTATTGTTGCACTTTTCATTGTACAGTACCACCATTTCTCCATTTGTATGCATCCTCCCGAGTTTCTTTGCTTTAATTAAATCCCCAAAGTAAGATTACAGGGGAACTGCAATGTGCTCTACATGGGGCTGCCCTTGAAGAGTATTCGGCGACTGCAGCTAGTCCAGAATGCGGCCGCGC